CCGTGGAACTTCAATTTAATTTCTGGTAACAAAATTTCAAAAGCTTAAGCTGTGTCATTTTAGCATTTCTTTGTAAAATTTTATTAAATATTGCCTTGACTAAAGTTTTAAACTGCATCATCTAAGCCTTTAGTTTTGTTTTATTATTAAAAATCGTTTATTTTTCATAGAATTTTCATAATAGTATTGGAATTAAATTTTTGTAACAGTATTAAAATTATTTTATTCTTTAAATCTCATTTGAGAATTCTCGTCGTTTTTTCTGTTTTTCTTGCATGGGAAACGATGCAAATTGATTGATTTTGCCATTTCGTATACTATAATTATAAGAAGCACGTCCTTTCCTTAAAAAATATTCATAAAGCTACCTGGAGTGCCCCATGTGGTACTCATGCTAATCAAATTGATCATGTACTAATTGATGCAAGACATTACTCAGACTTGGTGGACATGAGAGCTTAAGGCTAACGTGGATTCAGTTAACTTCTTGATAATAGCTATAAGTCCGATCCAGATTATCGTAACTCAAAAAAAGTGCAAGGGAGAACCGTTAAAAGCATATAACTGTAATAAAATTAAAAGGGTAAGACTTGAATATTGCAAAAAAGTACAGGAACAGTTGAATTTAATGAATTGTGATGGTACTGTGGAAAATAAATGGAAATGTATATAAGACAGTATCTATAACCCTGCCAATACCAGTGATTGATAAAGTAACTAAGAAACAGGCTAAGGATTGTTATGATGTTGAATGTGTTATTGCTAATGATAAAATGAAGGGCACACAAGAAATAGTGCAGATGAGTATCGTAGACTCAGAAGAAAAATTTATGCAAATGAAAAGGGTCTTTGATGAGAAATTGTTATAGGATGTTGAACATCTGAAATCCATTAATGAATGCAGAGCATTCTATCGAAAATATAACCGCAGTTGATTAGACTTGTACTTCTTGAAACGATAGCATAAATATTTTAATGAACTTATAAAAATTGTGAGGATGTTGAAATAATTGCATCTGAATCCAGCAATGACATAGAAATTGAGGCTCCAATTAAAAACTTCAAGATTAAGGGCTTCGGGATATGATCTTATTTTAGCTGAATTGCTAAAAAAGATTGTGAACCTACCTTAAGGAATTTATCTGAACTTATTAGTGACATATGGTACTTAGAGATTATGCCAACGGATTAGATTATTAGCATTTTGTGTCCAATTCACAAGAAAGATCTTATGACCTGTGCCAACTATCGTGGCATTAGTCTGCTTAGTATAACTAATAGAATCTTGTCAAGAATGGCTGTTACTGGAATTTTACATTGAAACACATCCTTTTATTAATTTCAAGGTTGCTTTTGATAGCATTAATAGAAATTTATCTTTTTGAAACAAGATTTTAAAAAACCTTCGAGACTCATTAAACTAACGAGACTCACATTGAAAGATAGAAAGAAGTAGGATTAAGTTTCTGGGATATGCATATGCTGGTGATATTGATGGAATTTTTCGCTCCATTCCGGCCCTGAAAGAGGCATTTCTTGCCCTTGAGGTGGCTGCCAGACGAATGAGCTTAGTCATTAATGTAGAGAAAACAAAATGCCTGTTATCTCAAGGAACGAGTTCCAAGCCCCTATTTTGAAATAGATTTAAAAGAGAAGTTTTACTTACTTGGGATCAATGATTACTATTGATAGCCGAATGTCTCCTGAAATAAAGAACAGGCTCTAAATATGGGCTAAGAAGAATACTCAAAATGTCTATGGGCTAAGATTTATTAAATTTAGGTTTCTTTCTAGAGAAACTTAAGTTCTAAATTTTCAAAGCTCGTGTCAAGCCGATCCTTGAAATATGCTTCTGAAGCTAGAACAATGACTAAACTGAAAGAAAATTGTATTGCAATTATTTGAGGGAGAAATTTTGAAGAGAATAACTTGATGACGTAAATTAAAACTAGAGAAGCAGATTTAACTTAGAACTGTACAAGATTTATAAACAATCTGATGTTATTAAATATATAAAAAATTAATGGAATGAATTGGATAGCTCACGTGATTCAAAATGAGTGGTGACAATAGAATTAAAAAGATATTGCTTTTTAGACACCCTGGAGCAAGAAGGCGTCAAGGGCCGCAGTTGAGATGGGCTGATTCGATAGAGGGAGTCTGATTTTCTTGCTGATAGCAAAAAATTATAGATGAAAGAGGAAATTTTCTAAGGAAGACACTGGCCCACATTGAGCTGTCTGGTTAAGAAAAATGGCTATTCAAGTTAATACTCTGAATAGCTTTTTTTCCACTCTGTTTATGTATGTAAGAATCTCAAAAATGGGAAAAAATCCTATTAGTATGCATAACCTAATTATGATTTTTGGAAATATTTAAAAATATATTTGAAGTAAGTAGAAGGTGCTTATTCTTTAGTGTAAAATTTTGCTGTGTGCACCCTGTGAAAGCATGTATTTATCAAGTAAATGGATGAATTTAATTATGTGACTAAAATATGTTTTTAACAGTCCTGAAGATAGTTGTCCACACTAAAATGAATGTACTTTCTTGTTATGTGCATTGATCTGTGTTTTGGTGAAATCAGATTTTAGATTCCTAATATTCAAATTTTGCCTTTAATGAAATAATTCATGGTTGTAATTTAAAAGCTTTCTTTTGAATGGTATGACTCCTTATCTAACATTTATTGTATACGTTTATTGCACGCAAATAATTTCTTGTGTCTACTTTATTATATTGACAAATTTGTTCCTTCAAACTGTGTTGGTAAAATATTAATTTGAAAGTGAATTAGATGGAGTGATGCAGCTATAAAAGAATTGAAAGAATGTCCAGCTGCTTGAAGTAGCTTAGCTTTGTCTTGAGTGTTTCAATATTTATAAAAATTATATTTTTATGAAATAGTGATATGTTTTGCATGCATTTCTGTATACACATTCTTAGAAAGTTTCTTTCAAATCCACGCCTTTTGTAATTAAATAGTATAGTGACCAATATATAAGGTTTGAAACTACTGCTGAAATGTTAACTGCATCAAAATGCAGCTAAATACATTTTAAAAGTATCTTAAAGGTTAACTGCCATGCTCTGAGCTGATTTTTCTGGTCCAACACAAAACTGTTTAAAAACCCATTAAATTTTCTGTATTTTAAAAGATATTAAGATTTTGTAACTAACTGCTAGTCTTTCTCTAGTTAAAAAAAGCTGAGTTTTTAACTGGAAATTGAAGCAAGCTGTATATGAAATTAATTAGAAGGAAAAAAAAAATTTCTTTGCAACTATACCTGTATGGGCATCGATAATTATTTTTTACTATTATGACAGAGAGTCCTACTCTAATTTGATTTGTATGGTTACATCAAGTTTAGTTTTGTTTACCCCTTCATTATTTGAAAAAAGTCATTGCTGTTTAGTTTTTAAGTCATCTTGGATTTGTATACTGTATAGTATACATTATTTATGTGAATTTTTGCCAGAGATTGCCAGTGCTATAAAGTGCTTCGTGGCTTACTGATGGTGAAATCCAAATGATGAAATCAAAATATTCATCTGTGGTATTAGACTTACTGACTGAGGAAGCACATGCAGATAGTAAATGTGTGCAATGCCAGATATACTTGGGTTCAGGTCATACACCAAATTTAAAAATTTGGCTTATAATTTTGAACATCCTTTAAATGAATTTCAGGTATGTCTGCTGGACATCTTACTGAGTCTGGCAATCTAACTGCATTCACTTGAATCTGAAACTGACATCTCATGCAATTGAGTCTGGCAATGACATCACACTGCCACTCTTAAGCTGTGTTTAAAGAGGTATAATTACTCAGATAATTGGAATTTTAAAAAAAAAAAAAAAAGCTTTTTAATGTGCCATTATTTACCAAAATGCTTCAATTTGCAAATAGCTGGATTATCAATATATTGCCTGGTTGTTAAGAGTGTAAGTTTTCAAAGTAAAATAATTATAATTCGCATGTCCCCTAGTCCAAACGTAGTGGTAACTTAAATATTCGGGAAAGCATACTATATCTAGGTCTAATTTGATTTGAGCTATCAAATCAATTCAATTTTTATTGTATGCTATATGCCAGTTAGTTAATATTTGTTATATGTTTTGTCAATTAAATTTTTCTTTAAAAAAGATTTCTGGTTGAATTAAAATTACTCATTGCAAAGGAACGTATGTGAATTTTTTTTATGCTAAGTAGTCTAAGATATTTGGTGTATTTGCAAAAGAATACCTCAACAACTAAAGACTGTATTTATGAGGAATTCTTATCACCAAATTAATTGCTTTTAAAAATAGTACTGAAAAAAGAAATGTGGAGATTTTACTGGGATCTAACTAACATAATTTGTTCCTATTTTAACGTAAAATGTACTAGCCACTTAATATTCAACTTTCATAGGACAGAAGTAATTTGAATTGTGGAAGTATGTTTTTAGTGTTAGAACAAATTTCATAATGCAAAATAAGCAATTAAATTGCTCAAATACAGTCTTTTTCACCGTAATTTCTGCTAGAAATAACAGTTAATTTGGAAACTGACTTCCCTTAGCAGGTAAATAACAATTCTGAGGTCTACTTCATGTTGAATTATACAATTATGCTCATATAATACAGTATTAGTTGGTTGCCAAAATACAGCTTTTCAAATTTAGTGTTCTTTTGTATTCATCCTGCATTTATTTATTTTTTTTAAATGTGCATGCTCAAGCTTGCTTTTTTTATTATTCCTTTTTGCGGTTTAAATGCTTCTAATTAATATTAAAATAATTACAAATTTTCGCTATTAATTAGAATGAATCATATGCAATGAAAACAGACCAGCTTATAGATATCATTGTTGCAAAATGGTCTGTTACTTGTATATAACATTCTATAAATACAATTTTTTTTATTGACTTCTAATATTGTAGCTAGTATATAAGTCTGTTTTCTTAGGTATTCTAAGATATTAAGAATTGTTTTGTTTTTTTTAATTCTATTACAGATGATAAAGAAAATGGAGAATCTGAAGAAAAGTATGATGAGGATGGTGAAGATGACGATGATGTAGTTCCTGATGATTATGATGAAGGCGAAGATGGGGAAGGAGAGGGAGAAGATGATGGTGCTGATGAAGATGAAGAAGACGAAGAGGATGCTTAAATTCTTAGACCATTTCTTTTGGGGGGATGATTAGCGAACAAATAATATTGTCATTTCTTAATATCAGACAAACTTTAAATTTTTAAAATCACACCCATTTTTTTTAATGTGAAAATTTACTGTTACATACTTAGTATTGTAAATCTTTAGGTACTGTATCCCTGACCAGTATAAGTGATTGTAGCCCTTTTTATTAAATACAGATAGTTCTGGTATCTAAATGTTACTGTTAGTTGTTGATGTAAAAAAATTGCACAATATTCTTTGCAGTTAACATCTCCCGTGTCATCTCATCTGTCATGTTTGTGTCTTCATTCACCTGTCATTTTTTAGATTGTGTTGAGCATCGCAGCAGAATGAAATACGCATGGTTTTGTTATATTTGTCATTACATTTTGCAGTATCTATCTTTAAACTGGCATTGTTATTTCATCATTTATGTATATGACGCAAAGTTATTCAAAGCATTTAAATATTTTGTGATTTTTCAACCATGGAATATCCCCAAAACTTACTTCATTTAACTTAAAAATAGATCTGGATATATTTCTTTTGTCATTTTTTTATCACTTGCACATACCATTTTTTTTCACTTTCCAGTATTGTGATTGTGTATATACGGAATTAAAAAAATTTCCATTATTAGCTTTTTTTCAAAAAAATATACCTGCTGTGTTGTATTCTATATCATTTAAAGCCAATGTGTATTTTGTTCTTGAGTTGTGAATAAAAAGCTCTTTGATTATACTCGTTATTTCTTTTTTTTTTTTTTTTTTTTTTTTTTTTTTTTTTTTTTTTTTTTTTTTTTNATATTATGTACTTATAATTCGAAATTTAATTACGCACGCTGCATTGCATAAATGACGCTGATATTCTGGTAATTTTACATGTTAGATAAGAAAAAAAAGTTTCTTGCACTCTGCTGTAGCCAGCTCAGGTTTCATAATCGAACCGAAAAAATCTCTTAAGGTTTCACCGATCACCGGGACCAATTAAACATTTCCAATTCGTCAATATGTTATTCCTTTATAGCAAAAGAAAATTTATTTTACTTCTTGTTAATTTTATTGTTGGGGGCAAGCTGATGACCTATCGCTTTGCTCCTTATTGATCAGTACCATAATCATATAGAATCCATTCCCTCCTAGCGAGCATCAACTTTTGCAAAGTACAAATAGCTATAGTGCCACCATCTATCGAATGTTATGTACACTAATTTTAGTTCAATAAAAGTAATTAACTATAGAGTTAATATAGCAAGTGATGATCTGAACAGGAATCTGAATACATTTATTTAAATGTAAGGATTAAATATATATATTAGAACTTGGTATGAATTGAGATCTCATGTACTTGGAATAAAAGAAAAGATGGAATTTAAAAATAGTGAATAATTATTTTTATATGAGTACTGATAAAAATTGAACTAAATCTTATATATTAAAATAGTGAATTCCAATTTTTAGATTCTCTTAATTTAAAAATGGAAACTAATAAAGATGCACATATTTTTTATGATGATGCAAAAGAATCAGCATGAGTTGAGTGGTAGTTATAATATGAAAACTGGAAAGATACAAGAAATTATTAAAATATGAAAGATGCTTTCAAATAAAGTTTTGAAAGGTGATATATTTATTAAATATATTACTAAACAATGCTTATTTTTTAAACCTAGCTAAATGGGCTATGCGAAGATAGCCCCCTGAAAATGAGGAAATTAAATTGCATTCGTTTGCCAACTTCGTTTTTAAAACCACTTTTTTCGGACATAATCCCGAAAATTTCATTACAGGCAAATAGACTACATGCAAGAGTTAATCAAATATGCTTCTCACAGTTGGCTGGAGAAAAACAAGGTAGTGCCATCATGTCTACCCTATTGGCCTCTAAGATACGAAATTTTATAGAATGGCTTGTTAATGAGAGGAAACCGAATAATCGTGCCTATAAGAAATATTGAGCAAAATCCATGAAGAGCTTTAGCGAATTCTGTAATATATTGGCCTGGCGCCAGTAAACAAAGACAGGGATTAGTTTGTGTATGTGCCTCGTGTATGCAGGAAGCTAAAAGCTGTTCTGAACCTTTGAAACCAGCTAGTTTTCCTCAGACCATGGGAAATTGTAGCTATGGACTTAATCAAACTTCACTCAGAATGGTATTTATTAGTAACAGATTTTTACACGTGTTATCCAGAAGTGGCAAAACTGAATGGTTATAACATCCAAAGAAGTAATTAAACATTCCTAATCGATTTTCGCCAAACATGGAATTCTAGATATTGCAAGGTCAGATAATGGACTACGATTTGAAGTTACCAAAACAGCTGAGTTTCAAGAGACTTCGCAGAAATATACGGTTTGAAGAAGATGACTCAAGTCCAAGGTATCCTCAAAGCAACGGTTTTGTTGAAGCAGCCGTACAGACAATTAAGATTCAAAAAGTCTAATCCTCTTAGTGCGACGTAAATTAACAACAAAAAGTCTAAAATTCCTTGCTTAGTCTAAAATTGTCTAAAATTCAGTTATCGAACGACATTAATGAATTGTTGCTGGGACGTCGATTACAATCAATTTTACCTTGAGCAATTTCACTACTTCAACCAAAGTTAAATGAGAAGGAGATGTTAAAGGAAAAAGAGTAGAAGACAGAAAAAGGATTATGATTTGAAACCAAAACACCCAGCTGAAAAGGTATAGATAAACTGATAACTAATAGGAAGGCTGAATCACCAAGGTCATACTTTGATAAAGAAGGCAAACCAGTGCTTCCATGAACTTAGCTACAGATTCCTCCGCTGAAAGATGATCTAAAGCAAGGATGGGCAAACTACAGCCAGCCGGAAGATTCTATCCGGCCCGCTGATAAAATTTTAACTTGCCGATCCGTGGCGAATGTACATTATACATCCGTTTTTTTTTTGTCTTCTTCGTTTAAAACTCATTTTGTTCTACAAAACATAAATTAATGCTGAAATCAGAAGTTTTTATAGAATAGCCGAAGATTGGCGCTAGCGAGCGTTTGTCTTTCTCGTCTCGAGGAGCTGACATGCGGAATCTTAATATGGATGGTGTTTTCGACACTAGAGAGCGCTGCTAGCTGTATGCCACTTATACTTCCGGATTACTGTTTAGGGGGTATTTTAAAGCCATTTGGCTCACAACGTTATCATTGTGTTTTAAGATTCTTGCAAAGGTGGTATTTGAATACTTATTATTAACCTCATCTTGCTCCTCGAACAATATGCTAACGTAAGATGGTGCACAGTGCAGTAACAACACGAACAAACAGATAGAAAGAGGCCAAATCAAGACTGGCAAAAAAGCGAGTTATTCAAAATCTAGCAACTATGTCACCTTTTTTAACAATATAATAACTAAAACAAATTTTCACTTCAAACTCACCAGAATTACATAATAACATAAATATCTTATGAATTACTGCAGATATGAGCTCAGAAATTATCTAATTTATTTCTTTTATTGAAAACAAAATTACCCGTTTGAAAATATCGCCTCGCAGAATGCATGTAGTAAGCAGCTGCAAACTTTCTAACCCGAACTAGAGCAGGTATACAGCTCGAAATTGTTATTGTTTACATTTTTACTGAAAACACCATCCATAGGTGTTCTAATGTGGCAGACTGCGCATTTTAAGCTCCAGCGAGCGGGTTTTTATGTCTGCGCGAGTTCTAACATTATTGCGTATGGAAAGGTTGCGCGCATCTAACGTTATTGTAAGTAATGGTGGGTCCCGCAGTGGACTGATTGTTAAGACACGGTTCACAGCAGATCACCGAAGTCAGGCATCACTGGCTGCTGTCAGTGTGCGGGTGGGGGACCACTTGGATCAGTCTGCGTAGAGACCGAGGGTGTGCGGTATTGGTCCTCGTTAAACTGTTCTACCGTAAAGTGCTCGACTTCGCGTGCAGGTCGTTGGGCTACCGAAGCGGGGGTGCCATCCCCTCTGCAGAGGATCAAAATTGTGATGGCTTGTCTTCGGATCATCCTCAGGGATGTTTCCCAGACCGTCGCCAATAGCCCATTGTGCAGTTCTAGTGCGGCGTAAATGAACAGCAGCGAGTAATGGTGGTATTATTAAATGTATAAAATAGCTAGTGCTTGTTTGAGTTATTTGTAAAAAAATTTGACCCCAAAATAGCTACTAAAAAACGCGAAGTTGATTCAGAGTGCCATGCGTTCTATGATGAATGGACTTTGAAATATTTTTTTACACTTTTAAAAGATAAACCAGTATGTCTTATCTGCAATGAAGCTGTAGCAGTTTTTAAGGAATACAACATCAACCGACATTTTGCAGCAATGCACAAGAATGCCAACTACGGTAAAAATATCTAATTCTGTTTGAATGGTACTGAAATCTTAAAATCTGCGTTCAAACTCAAAATGGAATTTTTTCGAGCCATCTTCAAAATTCTTTATGTTTTCCTTATGTACTGAGGGTATTGAATTTAGCCTCGAGAAATGAGACAAGTCGTTCTTAGCTAGCTGCCCAGCAAACAGATTAAGTATCAGTTAAAAAGCTTTGAGATGGGCCCAGATAGCATCTATGAATTGATTTTTCCCTTGCATCTTAACATTCAAGTTGTTCATTTGGTATGACAAAGAAGATCTGTGAAAAATACTAAGTCTGAAAGCAATCTATATCTTCTAATATTTCGCACACTGCTGAACGCTGTTTCTCATAGAAGGGCGAAGTGCCGTCTTTCAGCTACCAAACTCGCTCGAAAACGCACCTTTACTTTCGTGTAATACAGTACACCAGAGTATTTAGATTGCATGGACTGAAGAAAATCTCGGAATTACCTCTGAGTAAGCCCACGAGATCGAGTAGTATTAACAAACTTTACTACTGCATCAAGCGCGGGTTTCATACTCAATGCAGATTTACACAGAGCATAACAAAGTGTAGAAAAATAACGTTATTCCTGGGATAGTTCTGATTAAAGAGTCCAAGGAATTTTTTTCCTTACTACATTTCGTGCACCATCAGGCGTAATATTACATACTTTTGTTTTGGGCACTTTCAAAGTAATAAGCCCTTCCTGAAACTCACGAAAAATATCACATATCGTTGCAGTTCTCTTTAGGCTTCGATTCTAGAAGTCGGCGTTTACAGTCTCAAAATTATTTCTCTTGTCTGGAAATAAAATATCCCAAACTTAGAGCATATGTTGTTCAACAAACTTTCCCTAACCGAGATTTATTATTTTTAGCAATATTGAGTGCTACAATGTAACTTGCATGTGTACTGCTTCTTGATCCCTGATCTAGAGGGAGCTCTCTTTCTGAAGAAGATAACAAAAGTAGCTTACAAGAGATCTAGATCCAACAGTCTTGACTCAGAAGATGGATAAATCTCCAAAAACTGCTGTTACTCGCTCTGGGAGAACTGTGAGAGCTTTGAATAGACTCATTGTTTCAAGGGAGAGATGTAGCTATGTTAACTGTAACTTTGCATAAATATATCTTGTTTCGGTTTTTGCATCTCATCAGGTTGTTATTAAAATGTGTTCGTGATGTTAGATCATGCTCATCTATTTAATTATAAGTCGAAAGGTACATAACCACCACACAAATATTGACATAAGAATGAACTGAAATTTTAAAATTACTAAAAGAAATATTCCCCCTAAATCATTAATAATGCGCAGGATAACTGCATTCATAATTGTTGACCGATTAATTATAAATACATTCGAAATACGAATAATTAGGAATGAAAC